AAAAGTTGTCACTGTCACATTAGGAAACAATGTCATAAATTCTTGCTGTGACTCTGTGGAGAGAGACGTGGCAGTTTGCTGCCTTGCACAATTTGTGTGATCAAAGTTGGCTGGTAAGCACTTCAGCATTTTACTCTTTTGTGTACTGGGGCTATTTCTTGCGTACTGGCACTTCTCACAAGCTGTCGGTACTCTTTTCTGCCTTCTCCCTGGGCTCGTTTGAGCAGACGAGAGCTGCAGAGGGCAGTGACTTAAAGCTGCTTTCCATCAGCCTTTACAGTAGTGCTTGAATTACGAGTGAGCCGGAGTGGGGTAGCTCCACCGCAAAAGACCTGAGCTCCCCAGAAGCAACAAAAATTTAAGTTTGGGTGGTCCCAAATATCAATAATCATATTAAATGTTGTTATATGAAGTTCTCCTCACAGGGCACCAGAGTTGCTGTTTTATGTTTAATGGCCTGTGCAGTAGGCTACCTGCAGTTTTCAGAGAAGGTATGCAACTGGCACCTTTTACTTTGAGCATTGTACTTTGGACTGAGGCAAAGAAGCATCTAATAGGATCTCACACAGCCCTAAAGCGGATCGTACCATTTCCACTCTTTAACGTGAGCCGCATCGTGACTGCAGCATGCAGAACTGACGCGCAGCGGTCTGAGTTTGTAAGTAATGTCTGTAACGTGACGGGTTGGGACATGTGCATGTGCTTCTACTCTGTGTTATTTTGTGTAGCCTAATTATTGTGTGTGGATTTGATGTCAGATCAGCGAGTCTGAACGACCAGCAAGTTTCCAGGGACCGACTTAATTGTTCCACCTAACAGAAACAGCAACATCGTTCCTTTGTTGCGTCACCTTTTTTTTGGGGGGGGGCACTGAAGAATGATGTGGTCCTGCGTCAGCTGTCTTCCACTCCACATCACTTCCTGGGATAACAACAATTTCTAATGCCCCATGTCTAATGAGTGGGCCATTATTGGGCTGGTTTTGTGTGTCCTGGTGTAAAATCACTAAGTGTAGGAATTAAAGGCGCCGTGTGGAGATGTTGACCACTTGTAGCACTGTGGAGCACTGCGTTGGTGGCAGTACCACACAATGAGCCATAGAGATATGCGAACAAAGCCAGTGAAGAAAACTGAAAGCCTGGGAACGTGGATGTAAAGAATGCATGCAAACTTTCCAAAAATTCACTTTGCAAGTGTTTTATGAGGAACAAAAACATTCTGCGTGTTTGTTTGAGCTCAATGATATATACAGTGAGTTGTGGTGAGAATTGTTCAATGTAAACATAACTTTTATTTGTTTGCCAGAAAACTCCACAGGGCATCTTTAAGTTGGGGATAGGTATGTGTGTTTCCATACTAAAGTGCATTTTATTGCTCCCTGTAGGCAAATATTCATTTCTTTTTCCTTTTCCTGTGACCCTGGAGAGCTCCAGAGTGCTGCTTAGGGACTTGTCAGTAGTGAGGATGCCATTCATCATAATCATATATCAAACAAGGATGAAGATCACAGAATGAAAAATGCTTTTGCTTATAAAAGATCATAAGGGGCAATTACGCTTTTCTCTTTGTAGCAGTTTGTATGAAGCACATGTGAAGGGTTGTCTGTTAGCCAGTTAACCCCAGACATGAATCACTCTCGCTCTCCCCTTTACTTTTTATGGCGACAATTCACAATTAGTAATTATATATTATTACATCCGTGGCGATCAATGCCAGTGCCTGACTATAATTAGAAGGACCCATGTTTGACTCATTGTCACTCTGCTCTGATCGCTGACTTCTTCTTCTGCTTGACGTGGCCCTTGTTACGCTCCGAGGAATCCAGCAGCAGCATTATCTTGCTTCGCTGAAACCCAGCTTCCCTCCTGGTTCTGCCTCAGCAGCTCTGTCTGAGGGTGTTGACGTTTGTCTGCCAGCATTTTTGCCTAGCCTTGCATGAAGTCCAATATTTAAACAGCCTGAGAGAATGTTTGATAGATACAGGCTGAAACTGACCTTTCAAGCTGGTTATAAATTCAGTTTTTAGATGCACACTCATGGATGATGGTATTCTATTAAATCTATTTTGTAAGCGCTTTTACTTATGTTTATTTGCCAGTGCTTCAGCTCCATGACTACACTTTTTGCATATTTGACCGTGAGTCATGCTTCTTGTAACAGGCATCACTTCAGCAACAACAAAGACTGCACAGGAGATAAACACATCCCATGTAACAAACCTAAAGGGCACGCTTTGTGGGCTTTCTGTGTGCACGCATGTTTGCACAGGCATCTATGGAAACTGGCAAGACAATAGCAAGGATGAGTTTCCTTCAGTCTACTCTCAGCTCCTCAGCGTTTCACTCATATATGGCTCACGGTGCATTTTTACTAGGCACATGGATCAAAAAACTAAGCCTAGTCTTTGTTTCAGTGTCAAAGGCCTCAGTTGTTCTTTGTAAACTTTCATTAGAAAACCTCTGATGATGCCGCCCTGACAGTTTCAAATATATATTCAGGCTGTTTGCACTGTATCGACACAATGCAGAATGGGCCCTCTGCTGGAAGAAATCAAAAATACTGTACATACCACCATGTGTTCACTTGACCAAGCAATTTATTGTGGCAGTGTGGGCTGCAATGAGAGCTGCCAAGTGCTCTGCCTCTTCAAGTGTTTGCACATTTAATATTATGCATATTATTACGTTTGATACATAATCAAAACAAAGAAATAAATGGGCAAGTAGAACTCTACTGAATTCCCATAAAGCTCGGGGAAGCACTCACAAATGTCTGTGTGTTTAAGGGGAATGTTGCTTAAAGTTTTAGCAAGGTGTCACCAGTTTACATGTACTGTATTGACCTTGCAAACATATAAGAACACCCTTGTTAATCACTGTGCAGTCCCATACCACAGTGTTGCAGTTAGTCCTGCCTCAAAGAAGCCAGAGAGCTTTTGGTTTAACTACAATGTTATGTTGGTGCTGTTACTTTGCTGTGTTGCTGTTTTTGTATTCATCATTCAGTGCTTTGAGAGCAAAGAGAGAGATGGATCATTTTGGGCCAGAACAGGTGAGACAGAGAGACAAAGGAGCGTTATCTGTGTTGTTCAACTTTTGGTGTAATGTGCATCTGTGCTTTTCTTCCACCAGCACAAGGCTCTGAGAAGGCCCAGAGGTCAGAATACAGATATGCGCAAACACACACATGCAAGAGCCCAGGGGACTGAACAGATTATGTTTTCACAACCTGCCTCTTCCTGCAGTGGGCTGCACTGAGTCAAGTGCGCAGGCTTTTATTTTAAAGGTACCCATGCCTCCCGAGACCATGGGGGAATACAGACAAAGAGCCAGTAACAGAGAAAACATATAAACAAACATGAGAGAGAGGAGAGAAAGCTTGCCATAAAAGCAAGAAACATCCAGGGCTCGCTGTCCTGAGCCTTGGAGGTGAGGGGAACGAGAAACAGGACTGATAACGTCAAAGAAGAAGAAAAAAAAAAAGAGAGAGTTAGGAGATCTCCTCTGTGGCTGCCTGAGTCCCTGGTGTTTGCTTTTCATTCAACAAGGCTCTTTTAAGATAAATTCAGTGTTCCCACAATTGAAAACCTGCAAAGAATGAATGTTTATATAGTAAGGAGGCGAAAATTGGTTGCCAAAGTAGGAAGACCCAGAAGAGAAGACTCGGGACACAAGAGGCATGACCACCATGCCATCTGTCGTTTTGTTTTGTTTTGTTTTTTGTTTTTGCTCCCAAGAAAAAGCCTCCAGGAAAGGGCAGACGAAAGGAGCAGAAATGGGAAAGCTTACTAAAAGGAGAACATGTTAATTAGACTTTTCCGGGACCTTCACACCACTGAATAATTTCCCAAAGCCAATCACAACCTTTCTCCTTTTTCATTCACAGACCTTCCCTCTCTGGCTCTCTGTTGCCATTTCTTTCTCACTGTCCTGCTGTCGTTATGTTTTTTGCTTGATTTAGCATGTTTATGTCTGTGGCAAAGGGACACTTCTCAATGATGCAGTCAGTGGCCTGTATAATTACACATGCAGCCATTCTGACACATTTCACCATGATGGAGGCAATGTCAGCGGGGGTTTATCCACTCTTATTTGCTTTAATCTTGGTTTTCGCAATACTGACCGGAAAATATATGAATCAGTGTCCAACGAGTGGAACCACATGTGTATACTTGTTGCAGAAAACATTACAAAACTTTATATAATCACTCTCTTCCTAGTGTCCTGCCTGTTTTCTTGGAAACCTATCAGAGCATCAATCCCCAGTTGCACATTAGCTTGATTTTAACTCGGCTTCAGTGCCAGATGTTCCAGCCAAGATAAACAGTTGCTCAGTTACGCTGCTATTGGCACCATAGGCTGTGCGGTGTGTATTTGTGCCTTGCATGTTCCCACGCTCTGACAACGGCCTGACTTTTCCATTCCATCTGGATGTTTCTCTCTGTCTTTCTTTGTTCTCTTCCACCGATGATATGATGGATAGGATGTATCAGGTCTAAGTAAGCATGACTTGCAAATCATACAGCTAAATCCCAGCTACCATATGTACTCATTAAAGTGGTGAACATGTTGTAAGAAAGGTCCTTTACACTCACTTTAACAGGAATGTTGCAAAGACCCTTACATCATGATCAACCTTTATTTTCTTGTATTGTTACAACTGAACCACCAGAGCTTTCTCTTACCACCTATTGTGTCTTCTGAATCTTTGAGTTCTTTTAAACAACAAGAAGTGAAAGATCTTTACTTAATTTTTCCCTTTGAGAAGTAACATGTAGCCTTTTATGGGTAAAGAAGAATTGCCCAGCGGGATAAATGGCGGACTTCTTACATTCATGTGAACCTGCATGGTTTTGGAAGCGGGAGGAAGTCGGAGCACCCGGAGGAAACCCACACAGGCACCCAGAACCTTCTTGCTCTGATGCTAACCCACTACACCACACTGCCACCCAGACTACCATCGGTTGCAAAATATTTTTTCTCTCCATCTTTGTTGCGCAGGACCCCAGAAGCAAGCACAAGTTCAAGATCCACTCGTACGGCAGTCCGACCTTCTGTGACCACTGTGGTTCGCTACTGTATGGCCTCATCCACCAAGGGATGAAATGTGACAGTGAGTACATTCCCTGTCTGTGTGCACCTGTGTCCAATATGCTGTGCTGGTTTCCATCCTAGAGCCGGCCCTAATGAAAACAGATGGGAATAGACTGGTACGGTGCTACACCGAGCCACATCTGCAGCCCAGGCAGAATTCACAGTCCCGCCCTGCTGAGTCCTCTCCGCGCTCCCATTCTTTCCACCCACACTCCTGTATCCTCTTCCCTTCTCTCTTTGTAAGACCCCATCCTGCACTGTATTTTGTTTTCATTTTATTCTCCTTTTCCTCCCACTTCTTTCTTTCTCCTTTGCTATACCCATTATTCTTCCTTTCTCCCACATATCATCCCTCCTCTTTTTTCCTCTGTACCAGCTTTTTGTTTCCCTTTTATATTGTTTCTCTCACGTCTCCCCTCCTTTGTATCCCTCACTGTACCTCTTCACCTCCAGTCTCCACATCCATCACCCTCTCACCCTCTCTCTTCCTCTTACTCTGTCTATCCATCTGTGGGTCTCTGGTGGCAGCCTCATTGCAGATGGTAATGGGTGCACACCAGAATAAATTGATGCAGGGAGGACATTGCCGTTATGAGCTGCCTTCCCATCTCTTATCTCTCCTTGTCTCCTCCCAGCACGACGGCCTGACAGGCTTGCCTGGTGGACAGAGGAAGAGGAGCAGGAGCAGGGATGGTTGATTAGAAGAGAGCAGAAAGAGAGAGGAGGAGGACACAAAATACAGAGGGGAGGAAAGGGAGAGAAAGTTAGAGGGCAGGAAGGGACAGAGAGCAAATTAGAGGGAAGAGAACAACTCTCATCATTGTCAAAGTATGTGTGAGAGCACAGGAAAGAGTCACAAACAAACAATCCAGATGTTTTAATTAAAGACTAATTATTCGCTTTCTCGTTTGAGTATTGTCAAGGGGTAATGTTTATGTACAGGACTGCACACAGACTTCCATGGCTGCCATCACCAGCACACATCTGATGGAGCTGAGGTGCTTCTTCGCATATTCAGGAACCAAAATTATGATCACATTCCCCATAAGCTCTCTTACTTGATGACAAAGGGAATCTTTACATTTCCACTTTCCCTTATAGTGCTTCCTCTAACATTCACGCCAAGTAACCCCACATGTGCTGAAGGAACAGCACTATATCCTCTGAGTTTGTACCAAAATTCAGTACATTATTCACAATGTGCAACTCAGTGGGATGTTGTGGAGGTTGTTAGTCCACTGGATGGTGATCTCATCTGCTTGTAGTGATTATAGCATCTCTAAGTTATTTATTGATATTTCAGTGCTAGACAGCACCCTGGAGAAAAGCTCTTTGATTACAGCTGTTACCTAAATCAGACGTTTCTGTATTTGGTGAGAATAAAAAAATCTTTTGCCACATTAGGTCACATTACTGAGTGCAAAAAACTTAGTGCCATTACTTTAACAAGACTAATCCAGGATAACGCACAGGACTCCAGGCTTTAAAATGGATTTTTAAAAATTCCTCTGCAGATAATCTCAACACTCTCTCTGTTTTGTCTGTTTTTAGCCTGCGACATGAATGTGCACAAGCAGTGTGTTGTCAACGTGCCAAGCCTGTGTGGGACAGACCACACAGAGCGTCGGGGTCGCCTCTTCCTCAAGATTGAGGTCAGCGGTGACAGACTACATATCACAGGTTGGTTTTAGTTTTTAGTCAGAAACTTGCCAGTTGTGGTCACTCGGTGAGAATCTTGCCTTAACCTGCAGTGTGCTTTACTGCACTTTCATTTTATTTGAAGTAGCTATTCTAGAGTTGGACAGCGTAGTGATTGTTTACAATATCTATACCACTTATTCCTGAATAGGGTGGCGGGGGGAGGCTGGAGACTATCCCTGCTGACTTTTGGGCGAGCGGCGGGGTCCACCCTGGATAGGTCACAGGGCTGACATGTAGACAGACAACCACACACACTTAACACTCAATCCTACGGGCAATTTAGAGTCGCCAGTCAACCTAAGCTGCATGTCTTTGGGCTGTGGGAGGAAGCCGGAGTACCCGGAGAGAACCCACGCAGGCACAGGGAGAACATGCAAACCCTGCAAAGAAAGGCCCCGGGTCGACCAGGACTCAAACCCGGAACTTTCTTACTGTGAGGCAAAAGCTGTGCCACCCTGTTTACAATATGTTTGTGATAATTTTGCAAAAATCAGTTTGATTAAGAAGCACGTAGCCAGTGTGAGGGTATACTTTCTGTGTTCAGGTGAAGTTAATCGCTGCTAATGTGCTTATTTTCTAGGAAAACGCAGGAGGCTGAAAACATTCATAAGGTATATTGTATACACATGGGCAGGAATGGGTCGCCATTTTGGAATAGAGTATCCAGTTCTCCTAATACACTACATTACAGTTTGTGAGAAAATGATGGAACAAATCAGAGTTTTACCTGAAATAACAGGAAATCAGACTTCTTTTGAATCTGCAACTGTGACTTCCAAGAAAAGAAAATAGAAGCTTTAAAAACAATGAAGTGTGCGTCTGTCTCGGCATAAAAACGAAGTCATGCATTCCTTCGTAACCATCATAACACCTCTAAATTATCCTGTCAGTCAAGAGCAGCACCTGGAGTCGAGAGCCCTTCGGTGTTAAACCCATTTGGCAGGGTGAGAAATGACTGCTGGGTCACTTCCACAACCTCTCACTTTGCCATACACACGCTCACGCAGGAGTGTGGCGAGACGGCACTGGGTCAGGGACTGTGATTGCTGAGGCCAATAATGTGTTTTAACTCAGTGGGGATCACCCAGGAATAACCTGCAGCTACAGCAGGAGCAGAGAAGCAGATGTGATTGACTAGGAAATAAATTGCTTTCATAAAAATGTTTGTTTGTGTACAGTCTTCCAAATGGCAAGACATACATTAGGGAGTGGGGAAAAAGCTGCATTTGCAGCAGTACTGAATAATTTGTTCGGGCTGCTTGCACTGCTTTTCGGTTTATTACGCAGTCTGTTTATTTGTGCTGCTGCACATCCTGCTGTTTTGCTTGTTTTACTGCCGAACAAGGTCTGAGACCCTGCAAAACAGTGACAGATACATTCTGTTGTACGTCTCTTTTGCATCTATCTGTCTGTGGATGGTGACAACCGTAATGAGGTGAAGTTGACAGCAGCGGTCTCATAAGCCCTTTTCAGATTGTGCAGATCAGAAACTGACCATTCACAGAGGGGAGTGGAAGACTCGGCTGTTACCATATCAAATTGATGCCCATGTTGTCCTTGATTTTATATGTATGCACACTAAAACACCCACCAGTTTCTTTGTGTTTATGAAAGTGTTGCTGACACTTCACACTGTATCAACTTCAAGGAACATATGACAGTTTGCTCTGCAGCACCTGCTCCTGGAATATGTGGTGCCTGACATATAAAGACAAAGCAACTCTGGACTTCTGCGTCTACTTTTCCTTGATCATACAGCTGTTTATTTGAACTGTAGTCAGTGAAAAATAAATAGGCGCTGCTCATTAAATTCCAAGGATCCTGGTCAATTAAAAGGACAGTAAAGATGAAAATGACGGCCCAGTTGAGACAGAGCTAGAGCTGTGATTGGCAGATTTTGTGTAGGAGAAAGAGAAAAGAAGATGGAGATCAATAGTGAGAAGAATTCAAGAGAGAGAGAAGGCAGACCAAGTGTGTGTTTGTTTTTTCCCCTCTCTTCTCTAATGGCAGCGGTCTGAACAGTGCAGCCCCTGCTCGTTCTCCGGCTCCCCTCTGGCTCCAACAGAGAAGTGCCTTTGTGGTTCACCGCAGCAGTGTGAACTTGATTGAATCTTTCCAACCAAGAAAGCAGACACATCTCCCAGACTCTCTCTCGCTCTCTCTGTCTATCACACACACTCCCATTTTGCCTCTCCGTGCCGTTATCTTCTCTTATCTGTTCCTTCCTCGATAAGACATCAGCATCTGTCATTCTCTCTTTTTCAGCCAGTTGAAATAACTGTTCATTCGAGTGATCCCCCCCACCCCACCTTTTTTTGGCTCTAATGTTTCATTCCCTCTTCTATATCCTCTTCCTTTTGCCTTGTTTGGATTGCTTACTTTTTTTCCCTCGTACCCCATCTTGCTTTTCTTCCTTCTCCTACTCCTCTCCCCTGATCATTGCCTCTTGTAGCACAAGTAACATACTGTAAATAACCCATGGCCATGAGCCGACATTTACTGTGTTTTAAGAAAAGGCAAACATGCAAGCATCCCTTCGTAACCTGCCTACACACACACACACAGGGCATCTGAGGATCTGGCCAGAGTGAGCACGCAGTGGTTTATTCTGGATGAGATTTCGATATTCTTGACATGCTTGCCTCAGGTTTAAAGCACAGTTGAACAAGAATAGTTTTTTTTTTCTCCACTGATGCAAGTCATAGCACTGTGTAATACAGTTTACTGTAGTTTTACTTTCTGATATTAGGCATTTTATTCTCACAAATCTAAAGTTTTACAGTTGTACATACTGTTTGTATACAGATAATTATTGTTGTGTTTATGTATATTAATCATACAGATCAGTAACATCTTATTTTAACTCTCCTTTAGCATTCATAATTAGAAAAAGGCATTATAACACTGTAATGTAGTTGTGACACATTTAATTTGAATGTATATCGTATTATTGAATTATAATTATGTTTTACTTTTAATGTTGCAGCTGATAAAGAGGGAGCTAATGTTAACTACCTTATTAATATGAAGTACTTTACATACTGCTGGGTAGCTTGTCAGTTTCCCACCAGAGAGTAATAAAGACTGATGATTGTACTGTCATTTTTTATATTAATCTGGTTCTGAAAAGTAAACACTACAGTATTTCCTTCTAAAATGTTGTGAAGTCAAAATATGAAGTAGCACAAAATGAAAATACTCTAGTAAAGTACAGATGCATCAAAATTGTACTTAAGTACCGCATTTGAGTAAATGTACTTAGTTACTTTCCAACACTGCTTTTCTTGCTGAAAAAAGCATTAAATACTAAAAATGTAGTTTTACAGCAGTGTAGGTTTTGCAAAAATACAAAGCACCACTCGTGTCTCACTGAAGAGAATCATTTCCTTCTAAATCCTGGTCTTCACTGAATTTCCATAAACACTTCCTTAAAATGGCCTCAAGCAGAAATAGAAATCTTAACTTCCCTTCGGTTCTCCCGTTCCGTCCAGCGTGTGTGATGTTTGTGTTCAGATCCCTGACACCGCACAGCAGGGCTCCATCCAGCCTTCCTCCCCAGATTATCAGGCATTCATTGGTTGCACAATGCATTGTTATGCAACAACATATTTGAATTTCAAAGCCTTTTCCGGAGATTACACATTTGACCCAGCGTAGCCTCACACGCACCCACATCAGGATCCAGATGATGTCTTTTTTAGCTGTGGCATATTTTTTATTATGCAGGCATTCAGTTGAGATACAGGAGATAATGGTAGCAAGGATAGTTTGTGTGTGTTTCATGGGCTTTGTTTCCCTCAGTATAATGGATATAATAGGAAATAGATCGCTGAAAATTTGTTGCAAAGTCCAGTTTAATTTCAGACTGGCAGAGAACAACTAGTGTATTTCAAATGTTGTGTTCAGTTGTTCTGATTTGCATTAAGTGCATGGAATAACACCCAGCACTTTAGAGAAATGATCTGGGATAAAACACACTAAATAACCCTTTTGGAAAAGAACAAACTTGAACTTTGTCATTCATTATCTCTAAACTGCAAAGGACCCAGGCTCTAAAAGTGTCAGCTAAGTGCTACAGCTTTTAATATTGTGTTGTGCTGTTACTTTTGTAAAGTCAGAACATTTGTGGCTGCTGCACTAGTGCACAATAGTTGCAGAGTGGATGCCCTGTGATAGTTTTGCTTCTTCAGTGATGCATGTTTGCAGAATGTAAACAACAGTTTCAGTGTATTTGCTGAAGTTTCTAATCCCGCTAACAGAACCTTAATATACTGTACATCTGATTCTTCTGTCTGTATAATTGTTGTTTTACTCCAAACGAGTGATAAACACAAAACATACACACGCAGGAAGGCATAGACACACGCTCTCTAATTTTATTTGTGACTCGCTCGCAAGGAGCGAGGAGGATACACAAGACTAGCAGCTCTTGTTGTATCTAAGCAACAACAGATCAGAGATGGTCCTTGATCACTGCTGCTGATGATGTTTTATGTGTGTGTGTGTGTGTGTGTGTGTGTGTGTGTGTGTGTATGTGTGTGTGTGTGTATAAAAGAGAGGGATGTGTAGAAGTCAAATTCCTGTGTGTCACTTGCACACACTCTTCTGTGGCATACAATACATATGCATTGAGTCTGTCTGTGTGAGTGTGTTGCCTCATTTGTGCTTTTACAGGCTTGTTGAAGTTGCTTTGGCATTGTTTGGCGGCTGTGTTGCCATGGAGGTGACTGATGCCTTTAACGCTGCCA